CCAAGGCCGGCCCTTTGATTTGTTATTTGAGATAGCTGTTGCTGTGATATGTTAGTTAACCTGGTAGATAGGATGGTTATATGTGGCTATGCTTAGTGACCTATAGTTGGTCTGTCTGTCTGTATGCTGGTAGGAGATTACCTGTTATGTGTGTACGTGTTGAGCAGTAGTAGAGGGTATTCCATCCCGGTAGGATGATAGGGCCCTAGTATGTTGTCTTGTAGACTTATATGATTATTTGATAGGTGCACATGTTTGCTAGTATGTGGGCATTCCAACCTGATGGTTGAAGGCCAGGAGTATTCCATCTCGGTAGGATGATTGGACTCATAGTAGGTGGGCATTCCAACCCGAGGGTTGTGGGCCAGGAGTATTCCATCCTGGTAGGATGATTGGACTCATATTAGGTGGGCATTCCAACCTGATGGTTGAGGGCCTGGGGGTATTCCATCCTGAGGGATGATTGGTGTAACGCCCCATTTCTGAGGTATTGATTTAATGTGAATTTTCTTTAATTTCAAGGGCTACTCGATGAGTTGATTGCTCTACTCGTCGAGTAGCAGCGGGATGGTCCGCGTATTTTAATGACCTACTCGCCGAGTCCAATAAGGGACTCGACGAGTAGGAGCTGGCAGATGAAACCCTAAATCTCGGGGTTTTGCACCCTATTTAAGGAATGATAAGCCTCCTTTGGCCTCTTTGCAGTCCATTGAGAGTCCAGAAGAACCCTAATCGTGTGTGTGTGTGTGTGTGTGTGTTCTTTGGTGTGTTCAAGCTTGGAAGGAGATTCTAGCAAAGAAGGCTTGTAGATCAAAGTGTAGAGCGTCAAGGGATTGGTGTAGATCCAAAATCTACTTCAGCTTGGGCACATTTTAGAGGTAACAAGCTGTTACCTTGACTCTATTGCATTTATATCTATTCAAGAATGATATTTGGGGCCATTTTGGTATGATTGAGATCTATTTCGGGTTTGGAGTTTAGATCTGAGGTTGCTACTTCAGATCTAGACTTGTGTTGGTCCAGAAAGTCATAAAGCATCAGTCATTGAGTTGTTGGTGAAGCCCCTTTGTCTTAAACCTTAGCCCTAGAGTGATTTGGGCGTATAACTCCTTGTTTCCACGTAAAGTTTGCAACTTTACGTGAGAGTCATGCCCTAGAAGAGTGGATCTACAGTTTGGAGCCCCTGCAAGACTCGAAAAGCCTCTGCATGTATAAAGGACTGAAGAGACTCGGCGAGTCTGTTCTTGGACTCGGCGAGTCTGTTAAAGATAGGCATGAACTCGGCGAGTTGGAGGAACAACTCGGCGAGTCTGTTGAAGATTTTCGTGGACTCGGCGAGTCTGTTCTTGGACTCGGCGAGTCAGAACGCAAAAACCCAACCTCTTCTGGTTAAGACTCAGATCAGTGAGTTGAGTGGTGACTCAGTGAATTGGACATGATAAGACTCAGAGATCGTTAAACTCGACAAGTCATGGGGTGACTCGGCGAGTCGAGTTGTGATATAAGAGTTTTCTGAAGTTGGGAACTCGGCGAGTCGACAGGTTGACTCGGCGAGTAGAGTCAATCAGGAAGGTTGACTTTGGCCAGGTCTTGGACTTTAACCAGTTTGACCTTCAGGGGTGTTATGGTATTTTGGATATTGATGTCATGGTTCATCGATGGCGTCAGGTGTTGGAGTTTGGAGCAGTGCTTCGGGTCAGTGCTTTCGTGTTTCGGTTCGGCAGTTGCAAGGTGAGTTATCCTCACTATACCCAAGGGTCTAAGGCACCAAGGCCGGCCCTTTGATTTGTTATTTGAGATAGCTGTTGCTGTGATATGTTAGTTAACCTGGTAGATAGGATGGTTATATGTGGCTATGCTTAGTGACCTATAGTTGGTCTGTCTGTCTGTATGCTGGTAGGAGATTACCTGTTATGTGTGTACGTGTTGAGCAGTAGTAGAGGGTATTCCATCCCGGTAGGATGATAGGGCCCTAGTATGTTGTCTTGTAGACTTATATGATTATTTGATAGGTGCACATGTTTGCTAGTATGTGGGCATTCCAACCTGATGGTTGAAGGCCAGGAGTATTCCATCTCGGTAGGATGATTGGACTCATAGTAGGTGGGCATTCCAACCCGAGGGTTGTGGGCCAGGAGTATTCCATCCCGGTAGGATGATTGGACTCATAGTAGGTGGGCATTCCAACCTGATGGTTGAGGGCCTGGGGGTATTCCATCCTGAGGGATGATTGGACCCATAGTAGTTATTGTATGTATAGGTGTGTGGGCATTCCAACCCGATGGTTGTGGGCCAGGAGTATTCCATCCCAGTAGAATGATTGGACTCAGAGTAGGTAGGCATTCCAACCCGATGGTTGAGGGCCTGGGGTATTCCAACCTGATGGTTGATTGGACCCATAGTATGCTGTTCATGGTTGTATGTGTATGGTTATGTGTGTACGGGTATTTTGGGGGAACTCACTAAGCTTTCGAGCTTACGGGTTTCAGTTTATTATTTCAGGTACATCAGGTGATCGTGACAAGGCAAAGGTGTGATCGTACCGCTCCTCATATTTTATGATTTTGTGATTTGGTTCTGGGGATACTCTGATGTTTAAACTATTTTGAAAACAAGTTGTAATAACTTAATGGTTTTGAATGGGTTAAAATGTTTTAAACTGGCTTAAATTTTATGGGTGTTATATATATGTTATTGTATGGTATGTGGTAGTTGGGGAGACTCACTAAGCTTCGTGCTTACAATTTTCAGTTTTGGTTTCAGGTACTCAGTTTTCAAAAGAGGAGCTCGGAAAGATTGTAGTGCACACACCATTTGTTCAGCCTGGGATGTTTATACTATGATATATTTGACAGTTGTTATGATATTTTGAGATACATTGTTTATGATTCTTATATGACGTTTGATGAATATGGTTTTATTACTGATTTAAAACGAAATTTTCAGACTGTGTTTTTGGGATGTTACAAGTTCCTTTACAGATTGCCCTTAACCTCATTTTGTCGTTTTTCACAAAGAATATATTCCTTCTTGTTTCCAGTGCATGCAATTGTATCTTTTCCTTTAACTCCTTCTTATTTTTATATTTTTGTCCTATCCTAAAAGTTACCTTATGTATCTCACCTTGAGAGCACCTAGTCTCCTTCCCCAATTCCTTTATTACAGCTCTTCTTTTCCTATCTATATCAGAACCCTCATCCAATGAATCCCATTGATCATTATCTATAACATCCAACTCTTCATTGACCTCATCACTTTCATTATCTCTATGCTTTGATAATCTTTTTTCAATAAATTCTGCTTCAAGATCTATATTCATGTAAAAATCCCTCATATCTACTTCTACATCAGGGATTATGTTGTCTTCATCCACCCAGAAATCACTATCATCACTGTCCTCACTCTCATCATTTCTTTCATGATTCTCTTCATCAGTCTCTATGTTATCTTCACTTCCATCATCAACTGCAAAATCTCTCATCTCTACATTCTCATCATTCATTTCATTTCTGTCATGATTCTCTTCTTCAGTGACTTCCTTATTAACTGCATTGTCCTCACCTTCATGAACCTCATCATCTACATTTTGTTCATTAGACTGTAAAATCTGTTGGTACAACCCAATATCAAAGTCATTAGCTGCCTCATCAAATTCATTAAATCCCTGGTCAATATCATTACATGCCTCATGAAATTCATTAAATTCCTGGTCAATATCAGTACATGCCTCATGAAATTCATTAAATCCCTGGTCAAATTCATTAGCTGCATCATCCTTATTCCCACCAATCCTATCAACACCAACATCATCCATCACCAATTTCTTAATACATGATGATAATGGTTTGTCCTTGATAAATTCCCTTTTCTTAGTATATTCAGGGGATATCGACAAGGCTAAAGCAGCTTCATTTGCTATCACAGGTGGTATGCATGTTTGTGGCATGCCACTGGGTTGGTTATTAGTTGGGGAGGTTTGATGTTCATCAATCTCCTCTAATTGCTCAATAATAACTTTTCTTATAGGTTTAGGAGCCATAAAGTAAGTAAGCAAGTTAGTAATACCATGTTCGGTGTAAACCCTTATCAGTTTATGCTCCTTCACATACTGGGCGAGATTGAGGACATCATCATCATTTCCTAGGGCCCGTAGCCCAAAATGCATGTCTCCCTTTGGCACTCGAAAATGATAGTAGATAACTGGAGGAACTGAGTATCCCAACCTTTTCATAATCGCATCCATCTCGTGAATTGAAAACTCTTCTATATCCATCATATCTACGTACGTCACAATACCCTCAATGTAGTTGACATTTGGAAACTTTGTGAACTCACCTCCATGATGTAGCTTGATGGTAAACAATGTAGGGTGTCCATCTTCAACACAAGAGCAAAAAAAAACTTCAGAAAGGATGATTTCTTGTAAGTAAATCAAGAAAATGATCAAAAACAAAATTACGTACCATAAACCACCATTGGGTCGAATGACGTGCTTGACAACCTTAAGTGCCACATTGGTATATGCATTCACTACGAAAGTCGCCTGATCGAAGCTATCAACCTTGGTAATCAGTTTAGGGTTCTTGATCCTCAGTCAATGAGGAGGGAAATTGTATCGACTCACGGTTTTTAAGGACTATAAATGTGAATTAGGCTCGATATTATCCGTATGGCGATGCATACATACAAACTCTCATTTATTAATATAAAATAAGGGGCATAAATAGGGAATGACCAAAATACCCCTAATTTGACTAGTCAAACATAACTTAACAGAGGGAAATAGACGGGAGTTAACCCATTGGACCAAATATACAAGAAAATGAAAACTTTGGACTTGTGGTGCTAGCCCAAACTTTTTTGGACCAAAGTGGCAATTTTGTGTAAACCACAGGGACCATTTGTGCAGTTTTGTCTTTTATCCACAATTTTTGAATAATTAGAAGGACCAATTTTACAATTTTCTCGTAAAATATTGTGTAAAGTTTTTAATTCAAATCCCATTATTTTATTTGGAAAAGAATTTAAAATCAATCAATTTGGACAAACACAGTTATCAGCAACGGATCACGTCCAAATATCTCCAACTTCAAAGAAAACCAGGATTGTAGTCAACAATGGCATAACATCTTCCACCTACTTACAGAAATTTTCATATTTTGCCATAGATTTCTTCGGAACTTTCAATATTTCACCCCCAAACATCAAATTTCTGAAGTTCTGCCATTCATGCTTAAGTATCATAATATTGTGATTTGCGCTTTCTTTACAAGCTTCATCTTGTTTTACATCCATCTCAGCAGATATTTTTGAAAAAGTAATCTTCTGTTTTGCCTGTAAGTAGTCGTTCTTGCACTGGTAAATGGGGTTAAGATGTATTCACACTCACTAATCAAAATCCATTTCATAAAATTTTCAAGAAATCTGGAAGAGAGCGCCAATCAGATCCATGATCCACATTTGATGAGCGTTGACTTCGACTATTGATGTTTCTTCAAAGGCCTTCAATGCTTTTCGAGTGATGTTCATATCTATCGGATAAATCTTAAAATATCCATTTCAAGAAATACGTTTTTCAAGTTGAGAGAAAGCTGAATTTGATGGTGGAGGAAGGGAAAGATAACGAAATCCATAACAAGGAAGAGCAAGTTGAAGCGGATGAAAATGGAAGCCCCAAAAGAGGGATCTTTGTGGGGTTTAATATTAGGGGCCCAATCGATTGGCTGAGAATGCTATCAAGGGAAACACATTGGAGTTCTGTGGTCGCTGTTGTGGTTGTTTATGGAATAAATCAAGGATTCGGTGGATCTCTTGCTAGAGTGGGCACAGAGTACTACATGAAAGATGTGCAAAAAGTTCAACCATCTGAATCACAAGCTTTCACAGGAATAACAAATATTCCATGGATTATTAAACCCATTTGGGGTCTTCTTACAGATGTTGTTCCCATTTTCGGGCATAGACGCAGACCTTATTTCGTTCTTGCTGGTAAAACCATATATCAATATATGTTCATTCATATACTTATTTAGTTTGTAATCGATCGATTTATTAATTGAATATTCGCAAATTTTCCAGGTATTGTGGGAATTCTATCGATGTTTTTCTTGTCGTTCCATGAAAAGCTGCATATTGTGCTAGCACTGGCGGCGCTAACAGCCGGAAGTGCTGGAGTTGCTATAGCAGATGTGACTATTGATGCGTGTGTAGCACAGCATAGTGGTGTTCATCCTTCTCTTGCTCCAGATATGCAAAGCTTATGTGCCTTGAGTTCTTCCATTGGAGCTCTAATCGGATTTTCTTTGAGCGGTGTCTTTGTTCATCTAATTGGTCCCAAGGTTGCTTTCTTGTACTTTTTATACTCAAATTGCAACATCTAACATTTTTTTTATTGACAACTGACCTGTTTCCTTTTAAATTAAAGGGAGTTTATGGGTTGCTAAGTATACCATATGCGCTTGTGGTACTGGTTGGTGTTGTGCTAAAGGAACCCCAATCACCTAGCTTTGCTTATAGACAGGTACATATAACTTGCCTTTGTTTCTTTTTTGAATGAGTACTACTATGTTTGTTTGGATAAATTGTTCTTTTTCAAAACTGAAAGAGACCAAATGCCCTTTCTACCCTTAGTTTCTTTAAAATAAAGTTGATAATATTCATCAATTTTTGGAAAAAGGAATTGGGAGGAAAAAAGTAGAAAGACAAAAAGGTAAATGGTTAGTGTCTTAATCCATTAAGTCATTATGTCCGGAGTAAGTAAAAAAGAAACAGCCACATATAGCTATCCAGATTAAGTGCTTAACCCATTAAGCCCGTTAAGTAAAAAAAGAAACATCCTCTAATTGTAATTTTTGTACTATTTGGTCCAATGCCAAACACAGTATATGGGTTTTTGAGGTGTGAGTTTGTTTATTGTTGAAAATTGATTTGTTTGGATATCAATCAGATCCGTGAGAAATTTGTTGATGCTGCTATGGTTATGTGGACTACTCTGAAAAGCCAAGATGTATGGAGGCCATGTTTGTATATGTATCTCTCTTTTGCTTTGAGTTTGAATATCTATGAAGGCCTCTTCTATTGGGAAACTGATTCAAAAGCCGGCCCATCTTTCTCCCAGGTGTTTATTGACATATTTGTTTTTACATATAACACTTTATTTTTTATCATCTATAATAATATTTTTGACAAATACTTATATCAAAAACATATTTTTTATAAATACAATAATTATTTATAACACATTTTATCAAACCGCAATAAGTTGATAAACACTTTAAATAGGCGAATAATGTATTAACCACTATATTGTGTATGCAGGAGGCTATTGGTTTTGTTTTATCGATTGGCTCAGTGGGATCCCTTTTAGGCGCGATATTATATCAATACACTTTAAAAACTCATCCTTTCCGAGCTCTGCTATTTTGGACTCAATTATTTTTCGGTTTATCAGGAATGCTAGATCTTGTCTTCATCCTAAGACTTAACCTTAAACTAGGAATCCCAGATTACTTCTTTGCGGTTATCGATGAAAGTGTGTTCCAATTAGTCGGGCGTTTAAAATGGATGCCACTACTTGTCTTATCTTCACAACTTTGTCCACCTGGCATTGAAGGCACGTTCTTCGCTTTGCTCATGTCAATTGACAATTTTGGCCTCATGTCTTCAACATGGTTAGGTGGTTTACTTCTTCATGTCTTGAATGTTACAAGGACACAATTTGACAACTTATGGTTGGCAATTTTGATACGAAATGTGCTGAGAATTGTACCTCTTTGTTTTCTGTTTTTGGTGCCTAAAAGTGATGCTGAGTCATTGGGGTTTTCACGTATGGAAGTATTGAGTGTTTTAGAGGATAGTGAAAATGGTATACAAGTATCGAGTAGTTTAGAAGAAGATAGTGAAATATTGTTGAAACATGAGGAGGAGGTGGAACTTACGCCACTTGTTACTAGTGTTCGTAGTTGATATAGGGTTTTGAATGTGTTGAGAAACATTATTCTTTTTGTTTTTTTGTTACATTTATTTGGTAAAGAGGGAAAATCAGGTGACAATTTTGTTATATGTTTGTTCATTGAGAAAGACAATATTAAAGATATGATGTGTAGAGAGTTTGGAGATGAACTTTTTCAGTCCTTTGGGTTCATGAAAATACAGTGTATGTGAGAAAAACATTTGTTGAAGTTGTTTTTAAATATATAATACTATGCGACTCTTTATCTGCAGTCGTATCTTGGGTATCTTATCGTAGTAGTATGTCGTCTCCATTTATACTTGAATGTTCCGACTCACTGCTCCAAGTCCAATTCAGTAGGAAGGTGTGTCATTGCCCCACGACCGTAACAAGTCTTTTCCGCTTAGCTTTTCCAAACAATGCAAAGGACCTAACTGCAAACAAGTTTTTAAAATTATATTGGCAGAAGAAAAATATGGGAAATCTGAGGTTTATATAATATCCAAAACTTAACAAAGGACCTAACTGCAAACAAGTTTTCAAGCAAGGACCAACCTGAAAAGTCCATGGTCCATATTTACAGTCTGTTGACTATTAATACAGCCATTCAGCAACCCTAATTTCTCGCTCAATAGCCGTCTCGAATTCTATTAAACCTTGAATTTGAATCTCCCTTTATCCTCAATTAGTGGCGTTTTCGATTTCTAATGATTTCATTCATTGCTGATGAAATCTATAGTAGCTGCAGCTATTCAAACTCTAGATCTTTGTTCATCAAAACCTACTAAAAGACGAGCACCGGTAACAGAAGTTCTCGTGAATTGTACAGGTATCTCCAATCTTTCATGTCAAATTCGCTATAAATACATGTTTGTTACATATGCTAGAAATCGCGAGCTAAAATCTAGTTCTGTAAAACAATGATTATTTTCGATTAGTTTCTTTCTCTTTCTTTTATGTCAACTACATATCGTCGTTTTAGGCATCTTAAATAGATCAATTCACCATTGGTACTAATAAGTGTATTGTTCATGTCAAGAGTACTTTAAAACATATATTAGATATATACCTCAGAAATCACGAGCTTAAGATCTGTTTTTTTTACTCCCAAAAAGTCAATTCGTTTGGATTATGTTTTTCTCAGCCCGTTGAAGTGAACTACATTTACATAAATAGCTCAAATTACTGCGGGTATTGCTATGTGTTTACACACTGTTGTTAGATTCATCGGAAAAGTTAGCTTTGTTTGGATCTAGTTTTGGTTTCACCATACTTTTTGGCTAAAGAAAATTGGTAATTTATGATTTTGTTTTTGGTGATCTGTTAGCAATTTGTTAGTAAATTTGAAAACATATGATTTAGCACTAATCTCAGATCCTCAAATCTTTGGCTTTGCAGATATGATCTATGTCATTTCAAGTTTCCATAAACAGAAAGAATCGGCAAGAACTACTACTCCAATGACAAGAGTGGTTCTTGAACTTTATATGACATCATCAACGGGAGTTCTTCACAAAACAAGCTTATCCTATAACTATCAAACTTTGAACATGTGATTTGTGTGGATTATTTTGAATATGCTAAAATCAGAAATCTTGGCTTCTTGGTTCTTTTTAACAAAGGGATATGATTGTACTATAATCCTCGGGCAGCACCAATGCATATCTGGATATGTTGTGCTCATTTGAGACGGGTGCATGCAAAAATATGTGTTGCACCCGTGTCACATGCGCTCAACGTATCAAGATGTGCATCTGGGCTGCCCGTGGATTATAATACCTTCTTAACCCCTTGTTGGATGAAGAATTGTGAAGCCAAGGTTTCGGGTTTTGGCATTTCCAAAATAATCCCCGACTTGTATAGGTTAGGTGTCCCTATTTACCTCGTGTCCTCTTATTGTATTAAATACTTTCAAATTGAAACCAATAAAACATATGCTTTATCTTGTTTGTTTACTGCACAATTGAATACAAAATCTTGGTTACTTTTGCATGGTGGTAGATTTGTATTCTGGGGGTTATCTTGAATTTTAAATAAGAATTTATATCTCATCATGTATCTGTGGGGGAAATTGATTGAACCAAAAGAGGTTTGATAAACAAAAATCAAATGAACCTTCGATGGTAAATACATGTCAACCGAAACAAGTGAAGATGACTACGGTCGTCTTGAACCACTACATTCATGTAAATATAAAGAATAATATCAATATTGAATATCAACCAGGATTTTGCCGGCTGCACGTTACGGCGGCGTTAATCCGTTATATTTGCTGGTAGATAAATATACGAGGTCGGTACTACCGACTAACTTCTATATATATCATCGAATAAAACGTATTATATGTCACCAAATTCATACGTAACGTATATAAAAAGAAGCACGAAAACGTAAAAAAACCGAAATTTATACCGACATGTACATAAATATAAGCAAGATTTGTTTTTTAAAGTTGACAAAAGGAAAGTTTAAATAATAATAGATGTATTATATGTGACCCGGCATATACGTAGGAAACGTACACAAAAATATGCACGAAAACGTAAAAAAGTATTACGTTGAGTTGAAACGTAGATAAACTCGAATTTATAACGACATGTACATAAAAATAAGCATGTAAAAAGTTGGTTTTTAAGTTGACGAACGAAAATTATTGAAAAAAATTAGATTTTGTATAGTAGAGGGGATAAAAAAAAGTTTATAAAATTGAGGTGATGAAAATGATATTTTATAAAGTTCAAATCGAGAGGTCAAAATGACATTTAAAAAAATAAAATATTAGAAAATATAATTTTAAAAAGTTGAGGGTGCCAATTGTCGTTAGAAACTTCCACCAACATTGGTATGTGATATATATAGTATAATGTAGGTGAGATAATGAACATATAGACATTATTTTTTTTAAAATTGGTCCATTATGGTTTGTAAATAATGAATTACAAATCTTTTTATCCTGGATTAGTGGTTATAATACTCATTTTTATATTTTAATAATTAAAAAAAAATTAAAGAGGGCCTAAAATACCCGTCCCCACTTGTATCAATGTTGATTCAGTATTCAAATGAAAGTAAAGGTTATTAGTTATTTAGCCTGGATTCAAGTTCCGTTTTCTTTTCTAGGAATCGGCGATGCTAGTGCAGTCCATCCTTTTGACTTAGCTCTAGTGGGTGATTAGGATGACGGGGCTTCTGTGCCTTGGTCTCAGGAGGATATATCCAATTTGCTTGCTTATTTTGAAAAACTAGTTATTTACCGTCTGAGTCATTTGGTAGTGAGACAATTGTCATTAGAATATCTAATCGTAACCCTATTAGATGTTGTTGGGTTTATAAAATCAAGTATAAAGCAAATGGAGAGATTGAGAGATCTAACGCTAAATTAGTAGCTAAAGGCTACAATCAAAGAAAATGCATAGATTCCGAGGAAACCTTCTCACTTGTTGTAAAAAGGTAACACTTAGGGTTGTAATCACTCTTGTTTTCAATGATAATTAAGGATTATTTTAATTGGACGTAAATAATGCATTCCTTTATGGTGAGCTTGATGTGGAGGTTTATATGACCACACCTCAAGGTTACCACTCAAAAAATGATAATCATGTGTGTAAATTGCTGAAATCGTTGTATGATCTTAAAGAAGCCCACAGGAAGTGGAATGATAAGCCGTTTTATGTATTATTGGAGTATGATTTTGTTCAGAGTGTTAATGATTATTCACATATTTATAAATTCTAATAAAGAGTTTATTGTTGTGTTATTAATGTATGGGGATTTTATTGTTTTAACGGAGATTAATATGGATGAGATGAAAAAGTAATAGTTCTTGATTAAAGAAGAAAAAGTAATAGTTCTTGATTAAAGAATTAGGTAGACGTAGATTTTTTTCTAGGAATTGAAGTAATTGATAAAAAATTTGGTATTTGTTTAACACAAAGAAAGTACCATCTTAAATTGTTACATGAGTTTGGTATGTTATGGTGAAAACATGTGAAAGATAAAAGTTCTTTTTAAAGTCAAAGTTCTTGATTATGGGTAAATGTAGATTTTTTTTTTCTAGGAATTAAAGTAATTGATACAAATTATGGTATTTGTTTAACACAAAGAAGTTAGACATAACAAGAGTCTGATGCACCATTCATGAGTGCTTGTGAAATAAGAATTTGAGCATTGGATCAACCTGCACCCATCAGAATCACTTCATGAAATTTATCACGAGTGATTGTGAGATGATAATATCATATAATCTTCAAACCAAGATATATGAGTTGTTGACTACAAATTGGCTGTACATTGATAATACGTAAACACATCAGTAACTTGATGTTATAAAACGTATTGTTGTGCGCGATTTAACGAGTAGTTAGTACAAGCATATATAGTCGAGGTTTATCTGTTCCTTTTATCCTAAGAATGATCAAAAGCGATATCTGAGCCCCTTGATGATTTGTTTTGACCAATGTACCGGGCCCGGTCAGAACGAAATTGATGTGTTCAATTATGTTCTATGTCAAACTAATCGAAAATCGGGAAACTAATTGCAGGACAATAAGTATGACTATGTTCCATGTATTTGTCCGCTGATATCTTGTAGAACAGAAGAGTATATGATCACTTATCTAAGGACAGTCATTGACTGGGGGTCAGAGTTCGACAATGGCTTTTGGAAGCTACGATTGCTAATCGGATCTTGAAGTTACATTGGCAGTTATAGTTATTAGACTTATCAAAGTGGGAGACTGTTGGATTTGGTGTCTAAGCCCATAACTATATTAGGTATGTACTTGACCCGATTGTAGCATGGTCGTTTTGAGGTTGCCTTCACCAGTGCAATTTGATAGGATGGACTTTTGAGAATAAGATTATTGGTGATTTATTAATATATTATAAGTATAATATACTAATGAGAAATCATATTATTTAATTAGTGTTCGTCAATAATTAATTTTGTGATCAAAAGTGACTAATTAAATCTAAGGGGGTTGATTATGTAAATCATCCATTCTTATAGTGTGGGCCAAAAATCCGTTAGGGTGGGCTAAATGGTTCATGGATAGTCCATGGAGCTTTAACCCATGGAGCCTAAGGGATATGGAAGGTCATGGTGCATTAGGGTTTCATGGATGAAACCCTAGCTTTAAGAAACACTATAAAAGAGTTCCCTTAGTGGTGAAATCGGCTAACACATGTTCACAAGAGCATAGAACCGATTTTGAAGCTACAATATTCTTATTCTCTTAAGCCTCCTTTGCATATTGGTGTCTGTGACACATTAGAGGCACAACACTTGAGGTGCTCAAGCTTCCAAGGTCAAGAACTACACAAGAGGTAAGTCATCTAACTAGTTGTTACTTTGAATTGTATGCTAGTTAAGTTATATGCTTTGGAAATTTGAAAATGCATGTATAATTAGAGAAAACATAGTTCCAAAGCATTTAGGGTTGCATGTGCACCATAGGAGTGTTATAGTGCTTAAAACCCAACAATAATATCAATGCAGAGATACCGTTCACAAGGAACGATCCTAAAACAAAACACAAAAATATAAGCAGAGAAATCAACATAAATAAAGAGTTAAGGAGAAAAGACATACCCGTGACCACATCTGGTGCAGCATGCGCCTTCTCGACATTCAGTTGAAAGGCCTTGATCCTCACAACAGGCGCATCCGCCTTGCCCTGGCGGCCATCTGTAATCTGTAGGGTCGCTGGAGCAGGTGCTACTACTGGTCCTCCTGCTGCTAGACTCAGACAGTTGACCTTCTTGTGGCCCCTCTGATTGCAATGAAAGAAAATAAGGTCTGGTGTTTGTGTGGTGGTGATAGTAGCAATACAATCCTTGCTAAAGTTCCATGACTTGCTGTACTTGTAGTAGCCCGAACCACCCGCTCTGCAAACCCCATTATGCGACCCGCCGCATTTGCCACAGCGGCTCTGGCCTTGCTGGCCCTTCAACCTAGAGTCGAAACCCTTGGGTTTCTTCACTGAAGCCCCAACTGTTTACCCAAGCTCCACCTTCCTCTTCCCTATGTGCTCCATATCAATCTCTCGCTCCCGCGCCCTGGATATGATATCATCTAGAGTCGGGCAGGCAGAAAAACTAATGAACTCCCTGATTTCAGATCTCAACATATAATGATATCGGGTCTTCCTCACCTCCTCATAATATGCATACTGGGGTGCCAACAATGCCCTCTCTCTCTGAACTTGGCGGTGATATCCGCCACAATCTCATTCGTCTGCCTCATGTCAAGAAACTCCTTGGCTAACTGCTGCGCCTCAACAGTCGGTGTAAACTCTGCTCAAAACTGGGTCACAAAATCTGGCCAGGTCATGGCCTCAATGGTCGGGGCTACCAAAGCATATCCGATCTCCTCCAATCAATCTCGGGCTCGCTCCCTCAAACATCCTGCAGCGAACCTAACCTTTGACCGCTCGTGGCAGAAGCTCATCATCTGAGCACACTCAATGTCAGCTATCCAACGCCTGGCTGCGATGGGGTTCTTCACCCCAAAGAAATCTAGTGCCCCACATCCCTTGAAATATTTGAAGGAGAGTGTGCGGGTCCTAGACTGGCTAACGGCCAGATCGGGCCTGAAAATCAGAAGTCTATCCTCCATCGGCTCCATGATACCTTCCTTGATCGACCCGAACATCACAGGGGTCGCATTAAGGATGCCTGTAGTAATCTCAAATGCAATGAACTCTCGTAAGCCCTCATCATTTGGTTCGGAGCCCGTGCCGGAACCAGATCCAGATCCTAAACCTCCCGCTCCATAACATAACCACTTAAACAATTAGCATACACACGAGAAGGTTCACTCTATCAAGCTCCTTAGATTCATCGTGGTCTTCCTGGTCTTCGGTATAAATCCTGTGCTTTCCATAGTACGGGCCCAATACTACCTTCCACACCTATTTATACCCTTCTCAAGGACTACCCCGACTCCTCCAAGTCACTCTTCCCAACTGATACATTTCTTAA